ACTGGCAAGACTATAGAACATATCAAGCGCATACCCTCAGAACCTCATGCCCTCTTTTACTCTGGGATCTTTGCCTAGAACACTCCTACCTTGATAAACTCCTTTCCACTGCCCGAATCCTGTCCTCAGCCTCACCTTTCCTGATGACCCTGAGCAGAATGCCTCTTCTCCTTGCCTTGGCCATCCCTGCCTGTAGCCATGCCTTTCCAACACTTACACCTTGATCTAAAATGATCTGTGGTTACAGCAGCCTCTTCTTCTAGGCTTTAAGTGCTCCAGGGAGCTTACCAGCTATTGCAACCTTGTAGATTAGCACAATGTCAATGCTAAATGTATATTAATAGTACTGTTCTTCCAATATCAAATTAGCATTTCAATCATTAAATCCTCCCTTTTAAAGCTACCTTATACAATATTACTCCTGCACAGTTGACAGTTCCAGCACAATGGAAAATATAATATTTTCATTACTTTTCCCAGCTCAACTGTTTAGTTCATCTATAACTTGTCCACATCAGCATTTCCCAGCTTTGTGTTGCAGGGAGCTAGCCTCTGAGAGATGATGTTAACTAAGGGTCTAAGTGGGAGACTTAGCATTCAATTTAGCAGCATACAGATGCTGGGGGCAAACTTTAGGCCACATCGTGAGTGATTGTTTTATCTTGCTGTGTTTCCATTTTCCTGTTAATCAGGACTAACAGCAGTGTTACTTGGAGAGAGCTGTTGTCAGAATTTCTTGATATTACACACACAAAATTTAGAACATTTAATAGAATATTTAAGTAATAAGAACATATTATGTTATTCAGCAAAGTTAACATTTTCTTTTTATTTGGCTTTATTTTGTTTTATTTCATATAGAACTGCTGAAAATCTTTAATGTTTTGATGTACGTGTGAATCTACAGGTAAGCAACATTTCACAAATTTATTTGATGGAAGACATATTGGCATAACCCAAAGTAGTGTGATTTAGAATATACTTTGGGAAACTCACATTTAATAAATTTTAAAGAACATTAGCATTTTCTGAACCAAAATGGAGACATCGGTTTGACAAATATGAATGGTAAGTTGGAGGAATTGGAACATAGTATTTGAAATGAGGATTGCTCTACAAATTAGAAACAAACAGGTTTGTAAAAACCTCCAAGACCTATATTGTAGTGCACTTTAAGATCTCTCTTTAAATACAAATTGAAGAGCAAGTGAGATGATATTCATTCATTCTAAACTGAGGACTACAAATACTGCTCAAAAAGGAAAAAACTTTTTCTGATACACTTGAAAAATTATCACTTTTTAAAGATGAAGATCCAAACTTCCATATTTAAAAACTTATACTACTTATCTAAATTATGGTGCATCTGATAAGAACTTCCTCTAAAGCCAGGAAACCTTGCAAGTAGAATACTCTGAAAGGGTGAGCTGAAGAAGGAAGTAACTGACCAAAGTGGAAAAGAGGAACAAGTTCTAAACCTAAGCAGGTTTGGTGCATAACCAAGAACAAGAGAGAGCTCGGCACACCAATCTTGAGGTATGCAAAAACCTGCTTTAATGTATTTGGGTAACAAACGTGATAAGAAACAAATTTGTCTTAATTAATGAATGACTTGTGTCTTACCAAACACAGTTTTTAGAAAAATTCTCCGAAGGAAAAAGAATGTATAAGATAGAAGTGATGTTAATGTGTGTGTGTGTGTGTGTGTGTGTGTATGCTCATCTATGCTTATGCTTTTTTGTGTTTGCCTTGCTTCCCAATAGAAAAGCAGTGTGTAACTTTAAAAATTCCCTTTTATCAAAAAATTTGTTATTTTTTAAGACAAAAGAATAGCGATAGTTACTAGGGAACCAGTTGGAAGTGTTTCCCAAAGTAAAAACAGAATCTTCCAAAATGGGCAAAGTGAAACTCATTTAGGTATTAAGGCTATTTGAAGGGTATTTATTTAAAATGCAGTGGACCCTTGAGTTATGAACTTAATTCATTTCCAAGGACTGGTTGTAACTCAAGTTGGTCAGTTGCCTTCAAAGTCTCTCTACTGGATAATTTTCGGCCACATTTTCTTCCAGGCAGATCTCAGTGTCCTTAGAGAGATATTGGTCCAGGATTTCCCAATTAACCCCACACAGGAAAGGATGTTGCAATGTTCCTTCCAGAACTCTTTAAGAGATAAATCTGTGTCTGAGACCATCTGGAAGCACAAGTGGCCAGCATTCAGATGGTAACTCAAGACTTCGGTCATAAGTTAAAACTAAAATTCTAGTAGTAACTGTAACCCAAGTAGTTAGTATGTCAGGCTGGTCATAACTTGAGGGCCCACTTATATGTTCATAGGTCTATGTTTATGTATCACAGGGATTTTCTTATAAAGTTATTTTGGAGAAAGAGAGAGGATACATTTCTTTGGCTATACGACGTCTTTTTGCTTTTACCTCCATGCACACCTCATAGACAAACAATTTTGTTTTTAAGGATGCACTGAAATGTCTACTCTGCATAGAAAATAGGTAGTAAAAATAAATTCTCCTCTTAGAAACTGAAAAGGCAATTTATTTATTACCTTATCTTTAACTACCTAAGGGGTAATAGTTAACCATCCCAATGCCTACCCCTACTTCTGCTGTAGATCAGTACCTTTTAAAAAACTGACTAATCTCAATCATTTTAAATTATTTCATAATTGTATTTTAAATATTCTGGCAAAAAGTTATATAAACAAGTGAGAATTTATACCATAAAATTGATTGGTTTATACCACAAGTTAGTTTGCACATGTTTCAAAATGGAAAGTGTCCTAAGGTGTAAAAGTCCTTTGGACAAACATTTGCCCTTAACATTGTGTTTGGCCTTGTAATCAAGGGGAACCACATGGAGTGTAAATCTTATGTGGTGAACACACAGTTCTCAGCTTGAACTTGTGCTCCTCAAAGTCCCACGTAGATTAAAAGATGTCTGGAACTGGGGTGTCTGTCCCCATGCTTTTATCAGAAAACTTTATACATTATCTGCATGTAATATTCAATTTGGTTATACAAAATGTCAAATTGAAAATCTGCACATTAATATAATCTCATCTTGAACAATTTTTGAGGTTTTTTTGTTGTTGTTTTTTGCGGTTTTTTTAGTGCTGGGGAATGGAACTCAGGACCTTGTGCTTGCCAGGCAGGTGCAGCACTGAGCTACATCCCCAGCCCTTACCTTGAACAAATTTCTAAATGTTCCCAATGGTACATGAGGACTCACTGAGAGCTGAACACTACTTTGTAGGATTTCTTCTTCATGTTTTTCATCATTAATATCACTAAGGCAGATTGTTCCATGTATTAAATATTTGATAAATTACCTATTATGTGGCAAGTACTTGTGCTGATGATACAAAGATAAATAAAGTATGATTTCCAGCCCACAATAACCTAGAACTAATCAAGCTACTCAAATACAGTGATGGATGCATTTAGTAGCCATTTACATATATCTGTTAAGAGTAATAGGGGAAGTTTTTACTGGATTACTGATTCAGTTTCTTCTTAGTTGTTAAAAAGTTAATTAACAACTTCAATTCTGTATTTTATCACCTATAAAATGGTGTAACAATAGTACCCACTTCATATAAGAGCTATAGGATTAAATGAGATAATCCACATAAATGTGTTTAGAAGTTGACTCAAAATAATCACTTAAATATGATTGATGATGACATTCAATAGATGATAATAATCATCCTTCAAGCACCAGCAACAATATTAGATGTAACTATTTCTGTGTCTAGGCTGAAAAGATATAGCAATAATGTTTTGTTGATAAAATCATAGTAGAACATGGGGCCTTGTTGAATGCTTCCCATTTTCTCCTTGACATTTAAAAGCATCAACAGAAACTCTCTAAAATTATTGTAAGTAAGTTTAAGTTATCTGCTAGAAGGTGTAAGAAGATTGATGATGTTTGCAAAGATATTTTGTTTTACGTCAAAGAACTCTTTTCATGTGTTATGTATAAATAATATCCTTTAGAAGATATATCTTGAGTTTTGAACTATCAACATAAGCAATTAGATATTGGATTTGGAGTTATTTTAACTTAATCCTTCATTCAGTAAATATTGATTCAAAATATTTTCTTGTGCTAGGTGTCATGCAATTCTCTAGGAATAAAAATATGAAAAAGGCTGATCCCTACTCACCATTTAACCAAGTAGAAAAACATACAATTGTTTGTCATTTAGGTAATCATGTTATAGGAGAAAATGGGCTCATTACTGTGGAATTAGAGAAGAAGTGATTAAAGAAAAGATATAGCCCCTGAAGAGGGATAAGTATAGCTTCACACACGGGAGATGACAGGTAAGGGAAATGATCAAACATGCATTCTCTTCTCCCATTCCTCCTGTTGCATTCAGGACATTTTTTTCACCTGAAAATTGTTATCCTTATTGTCAAAAGGTACGCTGAAATTTAAGTGATAAAACTATTCAGGCTTGAGTAGCAATGGAATCATCAAATTCTTTTCCTCTCCTCACATTAAAACTTGACCTTACTATGTGCAGGCATTTATTTTATTGGTAGACATAATAGTTTTTAACTATATTATGTATTAAATATGCAATTAATATATTTTAAATTTATAACAGGTTTCTGGATGGCAGATGATTATTCAACCTTCTTTTTCTTGCGTTTTCTACTCTGCTATTATCTTCCACCAATTTCTACTTCATTTTGTGATTTACTGATTAAAAAAAAGAAGTGGAATGGAATAAAATCCCCCAGTATGGTAACTGTGCATTAATGCTTGTAATGCAAACAGCATCACTGACAAAGTCATCTCTCAAAATTAAATCAATCTCACTTCCAGTTGCAACAGGACTTTGCCAGAATATATACTTTCATATCTGAAGATGTACAACTTTAAAGAGCTTCCAAAGTCACTTTGAAACATTAGGCTACAAGGAATTACAACCTCTGTATCTGTGAGTTCATTAACAACGACACCACGTCTCTGCAAAAATGTTGACAAGCTACAGATACACTTCAGTGTCCATTTTTATGGGCATTTTTCTTCTTGTACTCTTGGTGGTATGTGGAATTGGTTGTGTTTGGCACTGGAAACACCACTCCACACGATTTACCTTACCAAGGATTTTGCAAAGGAGAAGAAGCAAGAGAAAAGACTATGAGAAAACACTCTACTTGAGTCCGCACATTGTTGGCTTGAATCCCAAAGCCTCAGTTGAAACCAAAGACCACAGATCTACTGACAAGGGAAGTAGGATGCATGACCACTATGAAAATATGGCAGCAGGTCCTCCCAAAGCTAAAGAAGAAAGTGACAGGGGACTATATGAAAACACTCAGCCACCCAATTTTGAGGAGCACATCTATGGAAATGAGGCATCCTCTGAGTATTATAACTTCCAGAAGCCTGGTACATCTCAAGTTCCCCAAGATGAAGATATATACATTCTTCCAGACTTGTAGTAGCTTTTCAAAATACTGTGTTTCCTTGTTGAAGGAGAAATATTCACTAGGACATTTTAGGGTGCTGATGTCATCATTGATCAGGTTCTTATAAAACTTAGTGCTCTCTCTGCTATCTTTAATCCTTTCTGTGTGTAATATTGTAGGGTAATTCCAGATACCCTCTTTGCTGTTCATCCCGGATTAAATCTGTACGTGTTATATTGATGCTTCCTTCTAAATACTACCTGCTATGTCTTTCCTTTCTTTCTAACTCCATCATCTTTTTCTGGCTCAGAATTTTTGTTAGTCTTCTAGTAGACTTCCCACCTCCAGTTTATATCTAGTTAATCAATTGCCCAAGATGCTGCCAAATTTATCTTCAGAAAATATTTCCAATGGTCACAGTACTCCTTTGCTGAAAACCTTTTAATACTCTTCTTTACAAAAAGACATTAATGCACATAATTCTAAATTCCAGAATTCATGATATGTCACAGTTGGCTTCAATTTACTTTTCTAATGACTTCTGCTATTCATCTCTCACATCTGTACTTTCATCAGAATCATCCCAAAACCTGCCAAACACATCCCTCCTCCAGACTTTTGCCTTCCTGCTCTTTTCAGCCTATCTAAGATCACAACTTTTTCTGTGAGTGTTCTGAATCATTCCAAATCTACATTTAACTTTTCATTTTCTGATACTGTGTTCTATTATTTGGGCATTTAAACATTGGGATGTGGGTTGGGGATTTAGCTCAGTGGTTCTGCTGCCTGCCCTGCAAGCAAAAAGACCTGAGTTCGATTTCCAGTACCAAAAAAAATAAATTAAATAAAATAAATAAACATCGGGATGTTTGCTATGTGTTTTATTACTTAATGTCATATGACAACATTTTAAAGCACTGGCTAAACAGAAAGGATTTGCCTCCCACTTGCATTTGAAGCTTCATATCAGGCATTAAATAATTGTTCAATTGACAAGAATTTAACTGTACATTTTTCTAGTCTTGAGGGATATCTAATAAATTCATCAATTATTCAGCTATGTATGGAATTTTTTTTAGTAATTTCCATCTACCGGTTGTGCTGTGCACATAGGGGATGGGGAAGAGGGATTATTACAAAAGTAAAAAGAGAGGCACAAGTCTTGCACACATAGTCTAGTAGGAAAGAAGACAATAAACAACAAAAAATAAGTAGATAATTTTTGTGCTCATTATGAAGCGATCATCTCATCTCTAAACCTACCCTTTAAAATACTGCTTTGAATTGCTCAGTCTGTGGCTCTACAAACTACCTTTATTTTTTGCCAGGTGGATCCATATTAGGCTCTGGGATAAGTAATAGAAAGCAAGACAGACTTGCTGCTGCTTCATTTCATTGTCACTAGCAGGTACAGTTGAGTGTAGTCCATTCCAGCATCACCAACTGTTTGCAGTTTCTAATTTCTTCCAGCCCTGCCGAACCAGCCTAATGCACTCCATCACCAGCCTGTCGGCACTGTCCCTTAGCACCTTGACCCTGCTCCAAGATGCTGAGGCCCTTTCTCTGAGAACCTGATAATCCCCAGCCTTAAGGATGCTACTTCCTACACCGACTATCCTTGTGACACCTCAGGGTCCCCTCCTTTTTTTTTTCAGTCTGCTCACACTCATTTAGGTAATTATCTAAATTCTCTCTATTAAAACCAACTGATAAAATTTCTCTTTCCCCAAATGGACCCTGATTGATAAGGTTGTATCTGTAAAAACTTTGAAAAGAAAAAAAAATGCTTCTGTTTTGAGAGTGATGGAGAGGGGAAGAAAGAGGATTTTAATTTTAATAAAGTGGACATAGTATGCTTCTCTGGGGACACATCCTGAGACTTAGGGTGAAAAGAAGCTAGTCCACACAGATGTGATAAGCAGAGGGGTAAGGATGGACGCAGCATGGAAAAAGAACCCGAGACATGAGAGGATGTGTGGTGCTCTTAAAGCTTATAGAAAGCCATTATGGCTGGAACTTCCTGAGTGAAGATTAAAGTGACATCTGGTGGATTGGTGAAGGAAGAAACAGTAGTTTACACAACTTCTCCTAAGTCTTGGTGTGTGACTTTGACTCTACTAGAAGTGCTACCAGAGTAATAAAGAGTTTTAAACAGAGGACTAACATAACATTTGTATCTTTTAAAAGAGCTGGGTTGAGAAAGTATCAGAAAGAGGCAAAATGGAAGTGGGTGGGACAGTTAAAATGCTTTTACATTTAATTTAGATTGGAGTGGCTGCAAGGTAGATATAGATATTAACAATGTTACTTTATTCTTCAACAGAAAGGGCACCGGACTTTCCAACAAACTCGATGTGTGTGTTTAGTGAGGAGAAGGATAAAATTGGGGATTATGGTAAAGAAAAATATTCAGAAGTGCCACCGTATTTCTGGCTGAAGTGACAGGAACAATTATGCAGTACTTTATGGAGATAGGGAAGACGGACGTAAAGGGAAAATAGATTTGGAGACTCTGTCAACTAGGAATAAAGCACGGTGCCCACAGAAAAATGAGATTATATCAGCTTACACACTTATAGTTTCACTTATTTCATATAAAAAGGAGACTATAGTAGGTATTTGACATCTAGCATACTGGCTCAGTAAAACTGTAGAGAAAGACCCAGGCTTTCTCCGTAAGGTATTTCCTCTGTAAGGTATTTCCTCTGTGCCATCTTTAATTTTCTTTCAGTATCATATATATTCCCCTATGGCTACCATATGATTGCTAAAGTTTCAGAGATTATGTAACAGAATCTTCCTTTGTGTTCCAGCCAAGTAGAATAAGGAGAAAGAACAGTACTAAGTGATGTTTATTTATTTATGTCTCATTATCCAGAATTGTGTGACTCACATACCACCCAAATAATAGGAGTGGGTGGGAAAATAATTTTTGACTTTTAATATTTTCATAAAGAAAGAAAAAAAGGGAAAAAGTGAGTTATAAGTATACTTTGATTCTACCAACCTAGAATACTTGCCATGGGTGTACAAATGAGTTTTGGAAATGCTTATCTGAGATGTCCAGAAATATGTTCTGAAATCTAAGTCACAATATCCAGTTTGCAGTTGTATATACATGTTTGGATTTTGGAGGTGAGATCCTCAAAAAAAGAGGAAGGAAAGAAAGCCAAAAGTACCTGCCATCCCAAACTGCAACATTTGTGAGGGGAGATTAATGAGCAGAATCTAGCAAAGAAAGGTGAAAGATAATGACTGGGGAGGAAGCAGTACCTCTGATCTCTACAAATTATGATTGATACTGTGAACTATATGCTATAGTAACATCCATTATAGGTAATTATCTGGTGTCAAAAGACAAAATTTCAACAAAATTGAGTTGAAAGATTTAATTGGATTTTATTTGCAATTTATGAATCTGCAGCATCCCATCTACAGATTTAGACAAAGGCTCCATTGGGCATGGCAAACCAGTCCATTTTTATAAAGTAGCTTGAGAAGGAACAGGGAACCAACATAGTACAAAGAAGAGGGTTTGTTAACATCAGGCTTTTTCAGGTTACTTCATTTGTAAGGATTAAAGGCAGAGGCACTTTCTTATCATGCTGGCTAACACTGGCCCCTTTAAGGATTTGACAATCATCTCTCTCCTGATTTCTCAGAATGCTAAATGAGTAGCTTTGTTTCTCCCTGGAAACATGAAACTTTGACGTGAGTGATTCAGTTTTGGTTTGGTTATCTGGAGCCTAACAGGAGGGCTCAATCTAGATCTATAAATCTTAGTTAAAAACAGATAAGATAAATGCTTTGTCTTTATTTATTCTCTCTGACCAGAAAATGTAGTAAAACTATAAAAGATAATCTTTTGTCCAGTTTTTAACCTTGATTTCTTTTTTAAATTAATTATAAGTTCTTTATCACTGGAAAACCTCTCCTTCCTAATCTTCCTAGCAGTTCATGCAGTGGGGGGGGCTGAGAAGAATAAAACAAATTGTCATTCCACTTTTTCTTTTTGTCATATATACATTGCATTCTTTGGCTTTCACCTTCTTAATTTATTTGTCTCCTCTATGCACACTTTGTTATAATATTTTCTCATCTTAAAATCTCGAAAGTAAAGATTATTTTGAAATAAAGACAATAAAAGATTGTTTACATCTGTTGAGGGCAGCAGTTTATTGTTGTGCTATGTGATTAGCAGAAGTAACCCATGAGGTACAATTAAAAGAGGAAGGAAGTTAAGAGTGAGCAAAAGGAGGCAAAAATATTAGATATACTGTAACTTTGCTGTGTTCTCACAGCAGTGTAGGTGTATTCATATCCTATGACTTCTAGCTAGTGTCTATTAGAGTATGAGGCCAGCATCCAGCCACAATGAATACATAGCTTTTCAACCTCTCCCTCAGAGCCACTTGAAATGTTACTGCAATCTGCCATATACCTCATTTCCCAACCTGTTATTTGTCTCTATTGTGAACAGAGCTTTGCTCATCCCACTGAAAGCTTTGCTTTACAACTTCTTCATTATTGCTCAGGCCAGGAAGAACATTAAGGATAACCAAGCACTTAGGCAAATGGGAACACTGAGATATCAGGCTTCTTGGCAGAGAGATTAAATAGAGATTTAAAAAAGGAAGAGATGATCCCTGTATCCACAGTTATAGACCAGATGTTTATGTCTCACTGAAATTATTATATTAAACCCCTTCTCCCTAGTATCATGGTGTTGGGAGGTGGTGCCTTTGGGAGGTAATTGGCTTTGTATGAGGTTATGAGGGTAGGCTCCTCCTGGTGAAATTAATGCCCTTATTAAAAGAACAGAGATTCCCCACTGAGGTGAGCATAGGAGAACAGGACTGTATTTCATCTCTGCCATTTTTAGTTTTCTTTTAGTATCCTATGCATTCTCCCATGGCCACCATATGGCAGGTAAAGTTTCAGGAATAATATAACACAGAATCTTCATTTGTGTTCCAGTGAGGAAGAATAAGGAGAAAGAACAATACTAAGAGATATTTATTTACATATATCTC